GACACCCTTCACACTAATCATGCACGCACTTGTCTGTGCTTAAAGGTGAAACGGTCAGTTTCAGTGCGTCGTTTCTCTGATTTGTTTTTCAGCCTCATCCCCAATAAATTTCTGTGCGACACCGTCGAGGTTCCCAAACAGAGGACGAAGTCATTCATCCAAGCGATGCTGAAGAAGAACAACCTGCAGCGGGTCAGCAGCCGTTTGAACCTCACGTTTGTTTATTTATTGAAGCCTTTTTAAAGTGACTCATCGTTTTATTCCCGTGTGTCTCCCAGTTCCACACATGTTTAGTGCGTCACTGCAAGAACGCCTTTGCCTGCAGCTTCACTCACCAGGCAGGCTGGAAGCTGGCCTTTTCTGGAGACACCATGCCCTGCGACGCATTCGTACACATCGGTTAGTCCTACTCAGACTGATTAAAGTCCATACGTCACCCAAGTGTATCTAGGCAGAAGCACATAATAGCAAATTGAGCGTCCGCTTTCGATATTACAGTGATTCATATAAGGTCATCTTGACTCTAGCTCGACTACACGGGTTGTTTTGAATAATTTATCCGATATTTCTTAATGCTCTCAATCACTCTTGTAGCTGGCAGCCTCTTCTAATGGTTCCTCTGGGATCCCTCTTCATTGACTCTTCTTAAATTGCTTGACTGGATTCTGTCCAAGCAAAGCCTCCCAGAGACAGCCAGTGTTTCCCAAGTCTGCTCATTATAGATGGCTCAGCTCACCGGACAAACAGGGCATGCGGATTCTTGATCACGCTGACCACCTGATTGATTTCCTGTGGGACGGGAAGAAGCTCTAAGTGCTTCCCTCTGATTTGGGCTTCTCATTCTTTCTTTTTTTAACCCAGGAAAAAATGCGACCTTACTAATCCACGAGGCCACGCTGGAGGATGAGCTAGAGGAGGAAGCTGTAGAGAAAAGGCATAGGTGAGTGAAACAAACTGTGTGGCTCTGCAGGTACTTTAAGGTGATTTAATGAAAATGTTGGAGGAGGAAAAACGAGCAGTCGGAGCTCCGTGTCAGCTAGCAAAGAGTTCTCTTCACTCGCTGATTGAGGCAGCCGTTATGTTCATTGTTAAATCTCTTCATTCTCCGCACATATTGACATTGATTTTTGTTCCTTTTTTACGGCGCCACTGTGAGCGTCCGTCTTCACAAAAGCGCGTTTTTATGTCTTTAGAAAACAATGTTCCCATCGAAGAGCGACGTAAATCTGTGACTTTATGACTGATCTTTTCTCACAGTACAACCTCCCAGGCCATCGGTATCGGCATGAAGATGAACGCCGACTTCATCGTGCTCAACCACTTCAGCCAGCGCTACGCTAAGATCCCTCTCTTCAGCGAAGACTTCAACGACAGGGTGGGAATATCCTTCGACCACATGAGAGTAAGTCCGGGTGCAGACCTGGCTGTGAGAGCGGCCGCGTCTGATTTCTTTGACGAATAATGTCTCACTGGATTTGACAGCTGGTTTCCAGATATCCTGTTGCACTTGAAGGCATCACGGGGAGACTGTGTGAAGCATGGTCCACAGACACGTGCAGATGGAGGCTCTCTTAATGATCACGCAATCCTGAAAGTTTTAATACTATAGTGTTGCAGACAGGGGTCCCCATAGAGTTAAACTTGGAAAGTTCGACTCGCTTCAGTTGAGATTTCTCGGCTCTGCTTTCAGAAATGAACTTTTCTCCAATTCATCCACAGCTTCAGCAGCAGGGTCCATTCATGCGTTCCTAGAGAAGGTTTTGCACATTTATATACAACAACAGCAAGAACTTCAAACAATAGGATATTAATACTTTTAGAAATAACATTTTTTAAGGTTTTAAGGACATCTCTACATTTCAGTGGAGCTTAGTTCCTCTATGATGAGCCCTGCCTTGATGTTGAAGGAATTTTCAGGCTTGGCAGAGATCGGCAGTCATGGACTGATTTTCTTTGCTAATTAACTTTACCTACTCTAACTACTATATCATCTCTTTCAACTCCACTTTAAAGTTTATGGTGACTTTAATATTTAACTTTAATATCTTTAGATACTTTTAAAAGTATCAACATCTTGTTTTTTACATTTTGCTTCATCTGATTTTTCCCGTCCGTCTAAATAAGAAAATTAAAGAACGACATTGTGTCCGGACAGGATTAATCTCTTTATTCAGTACGGTGGTCCCTCACTATAACGCGGT